TAGTGGCATGCTGTTGGCATCCTAGCTATGCCAAAAAGCATAAACAAGAGGATCATGATCCAAGCCAGCCCAGGCTAAAGTGAAATTCCATCAAACTATCTCAAAATAAACAGAGAAAAAAATGGTTGAGAGGGTGTGGCTCAAGCAGTAGAATGCCTGCTCAGCAAGGATGAAACCAAGTGTTCAAAAAACCATACTGAGCCGGGCACTGGTGGCTCACACCTGTAATCCTAGCTACTCAGGAAGCTGAGATCTGAGGATCATGGTTCAAAGCCAGCCCGGGCAGGAAAGTCTGTGAGACTCTTATCTCCAATAAACCACTCAGAAAACAGGAAGTGGTGCAGTGGCTCAAGTGGTAGAGCACTGGCCTTGAGCTGAAGAGCTGAGGGACAGTGCCCAGGCCCAGAGTGCAATGCCCAGGCCCAGAGTTCAAGAACCACGACCGACAAAAAAAAAAAAAAAAGACAGTACTGGCCATCCCATCCCCACCCCCATCCCCCAAAACAAACAACCACCGGAAACAGGAATGAATCTCACAAACCATTGTCAATGAAAGAATCCATACCTAAATGAATAGCTGTTATAAAGTTCCAAGCTTTATGTAAAACTATCCTGTGCTGTGTGCACAGTCAATGTGGTAGAGATGGATGGAAAATGAGAGGTGCGGTAGAGGACTTGTGGTCCCCCATTAGCTGGCTGGACAATGGCAGCATTGTGATAATCTATGTAGCCATGTGCTTAGGATTGGTATTTTTTCAATACAATTATTTTTTTCAAAGTATTTTTGACCTATAGATTTATGGGGTCAAGCTAAGAGTGTACCCCCTTCCCACCCACCAAAAGAAAAGACTGGTTTTTAGAATTTTTCACAACCAAGAGTACTCAAAATTATTTTTAGTGGTCCTGCAAATGGAAAACATCTCTACATGTTCAAATGTAAAGCCCTAAAATAACAAGGCTATTGAAAAGTAGCTGAAGTTAACCCTAAAGTATAATTGTTTTCAGATTTCGATATCCTTTCATGAGAACAAGTTGTGTAGGGACAGGAGAAGTGATTGATAAGAATAATGTGTACAACTAAGTGGAATTCCAGAAAACAAACTAACCACTTTACATTAAACAATACCAAAAAATCTGTTAAAAAGAAAGAAAGAAAAAAAAACTAAGTCGCTTCTTGTGTAGACTATACCCAACTCAGAGCCAACCTTTGCCCTTCCCAGTGACTATTTGGATTGCTAATTCCAGGCATGGCTCTGTTTCAGGAAGGAAACCAGGATTGCCCACATGCTCCTGTGAATGAACCATGAGAAACTGTAGCTCTGCTGAAAGTGATATATTCGGATTGGCAGGTATTTTATAGAGATAAAGTAAACTGAAGACCTGGTGGGTAGAGATTGTTGGTTCTCTAAATTCATAGCATAGTCCATATATATTTTACTCTTGGAGCTAACTTCCTGTAAAATTCCTCCCACAAGATTGCCTTGAAAATACTCGGAAATAAATTCTTCATCTACTTTCTCCATCAGAAATCAAATATAATCTTTAAACTGACTTGCCACTAATTCAGAGTGTTTAGATTCATTAGCTATATGGATTATCTTTTGTAATATGAAAAAGTGGCAAAAGTGAACAAAAATATTCAAAACATAACTCATCAAATAACTTATCATATTAATGAGGGTTGTCTGTTTATAAGGTAACGTTTAGAATTCCCTATATCTAAAAGAAAATAGGCTAATTTAGTATCCAAGATTTCAGTGACACACAAACTCATTAATACCATATGGTTTTCCCCTGAATATAAAAACTGTTCATTATCAGACAACTACAAACAACTCATTCAGCAAGGCAGTATATATGTTAAATAGAAAAACATGCAGCAATAAAAATGAATGAATCAAAACACCAAATAGGACAGAATCTCATCAATTTCTAACTCAAAAATAACCCCTTTAGAAGGGTTAGCCTACCACTTTCCAGAGACTGCTGATGCTATGTTAGTAATTAGAATGATAAGAATAACTTCATAGCCAGGCACCAGTGGCTCATGCCTGTAATCCTAGCTACTCAAGAGGCTGAGATCTGAGGATCATGGTTCAAAGCCAGCCCGGACAGGAAATTCTGTGAGACTCTTATCTCCAATAAACCACTAGAAAACTGGAAGTGGCGCTATGGCTCAAGCGGTAGAGTGCTCGCCTTGAGCTGAAGAGCACAAGGACAGCGCCCAAGCCCAGAGTTCAAGCCCCATGACCAACAAAAAAAAAATAAAAATAAAAATAACCTCATATATAACTGCAAATTTCAAATTCTAAAAAAAAAAAAATCACTAGAGCTAATTTTGTGGAGCTAAAAGAGCAAGCAAGTGAAGTAGTTTATCTATACTTTGGGGAACAAAATAAAAATAAAAACAAATCATTCAGGAAATCCCTCATACTATCTGAATGGCTATCAATATGAACCTGTACCTTTATCATATGTACACTGAGATTCAGAAAAGCAGACTTGTCATTTAAAAAATAATCAAAGAAATACCTACATAATATTCTATGTACTTAAAAATAAGAATTATATTGCTGGAAGCATAATTCAAGTGGTAGAATGCTGATCTAGAAAGTGTGAGGTCCTGAGTTCAAACCCAGTATCTATATATCTATCTATCTGTATATAAAAGCCAAATCTATATTGCACTTATCCCTTTGGTATAGCTGTTTGAATCAGTGGCATTGGGTTCTGTGAGACTAAGAGAAAAAAAAAAGGCATGACTAAGGAAAACTGGCCTAGAATTGTTAGCACCAAGACTCATTCAGAAAAGTACAAAGTTTACATTCTGGGCCTAAAGCAAAAACAAAACAAAACAAAAACCCAAGCAAAACTAAAAACAAGCCATAGATCATTTAAAAAATTATAATTGAAAAAGTTAATAGCTTTTAAGTTACTCATTTTAAAAGGTTTTCTTAATTGATCAGAATTGAAATAAATGCATTATAAATAGATTAGAACAAGAACACAGAAGGATGTACAAAAGTCACTCCAAAATTAATCAGCCACTTTTTAGTAATATCATCAGTATACCACTGGAGAAAATTTTGCTTTGCAAACAGAGCACACTGATCTCACCTGAGTTCATTTTCATACTGTGGGGACAGTCTACCTGAATTCTGGTAAAAGCTTTTCAGGAAAGAGGGGGCAGTGAAGGAAGGGGCAGAGAAGGAAGTGTGAAGGCTTGGAAGGCTGGAGGAAGAAATACTCTCCTTGTGCATGCGTCGAGCTGACAGAAGAATGCTGAGTACAGAAAACACAGCAAATTTGTCTTAATTTCTATTTCAGCACAATCTTCATTCACTATGAAAAGGCATATCAACAGATTCTTGTTACGCACTTAACCTTCCTTTGAAATCTCAGGAAGGAATCTTACACAGATTACAACAAGAGCATGCAGTTCTCTATTTAGATGACCACACTAAGTTTCATCTCTTTGAAAATTGAATTTCTCATCTGTGCAGGGTGCCTTTCCATCCATACTCAACTCTTAAAAAATTCATAACGATCTTAAAACAAATGTTGTTTGTTTTTACATGCAAAAGACACACTTCAAGGCAAAAACGTAGGGAAGCACAAATAATTACAGGAAAACAAGTTCCAGAAGGAAAAACTGATTATGAGTAGTTCAAAGAGTAACTTTTTCAAGATAAAAACCCTTACTAAATACTTAACAGTAACATGTTTGGTTGTAGAAAATCAGCTTACCTTTGGCTTAATAAACATTAACATCTGTGTTCTTTCCTAACGCCAGTAGATTGTGCCCTAAATCTGCCTCAGAGCTCTTTTTTTTTTTCTTTAGAAGTTCTTCATGTAGCAAGTTTTTACAATGGACCAAGGTTTTATAATGTATCAAGGTTTCATGTTTGTAAATAGAAATTATTTGAGCTTATACATTATATTACAAAATGGATGAACTTAGATTTCTAGTGTAAAATAATCAACGTTTTTAATTCTTGAAAATAATTTTTGCTGGAAAAAAGTTTGTTGTCTTGGGTAAAAATAAATAATCATAATAAAAATATCTTAGGCTACATATGAATACTTCAACTTCTTCACATATAAAAAATCTGATAATAATGAATCCTCTGGGCTTATTCTATTTTATATCAGAAGTAGCAGACTTCTACATTCAGAAAACAGTAATAATCCAACCATACCCTCCAAGACATGCTATTTGCGTAATATACTATTTTATATAAAAATTTTTGTCTTAAAATTTAGTTGCTATTCATTTCTCAAGTAAGCATCTCATTCAACCTTGTATCAAATAGGTGCAGAAAGAGACCAAAAAAAGGAACGAATTTATCATACTCCTTCTAAGTTATAAATATCTAAAATACAAATCCTAATCTATGCTGTACAGTAACAAGTAGAATCATCCTACTATTTCTTACCAAATCTCAGACTATTGTGTTATTTTTAAATGGTCATGCAAGATAATTTCGAATATACGTTGCCTATAATAGCGAGGACATAGTCTTCTTTTTAGATCACTTTTTTTTATAGAGTTTGCAGTCCTTTTCCTACTTCGCTTTACTTTTATTATATAATAAAATACAGTGAAAATACATGCACAAAAGTAACTTAGGCAATGATGGTAACCCTAGTATTTTGCTGTAAGCTATCATCTTCACTTGTAGTGACCTTGCTAGCTTAAAACCATCCACTGAGTAAGTTTTCAGACTAAACAGTTGCATGGTATTTTTCTGTATTTCTCTGGAAGGGTTGGACAAGAACAACACTGTCTATTCAAACCGCATTAACTCTTCTCTCTGGGTGAACCTTGAACCTTTCCCCTAGCCACTTAAGTAATAAGCCCATCCTACATATTCCTAGGGTCTTGGTACAATCTAAGAGTTAGCTCGACCATGCAGTCTCCATCCTCCAGGACTCCAGAATGACCCAACCACCGCGAGAGAACGTGGCTTCCTTTGTTCTGGAGAACGGCCCCAGCTTACCTGCACTGCTCGCTGGAGCTCTGCCTCAGCAGAGGCGAGCGCACCCCGGGGGCCCTGCCATCCTGGAGGTTCAGCTTTCTCCTGCTGCTCGAAGGAGGGTGGCTGAAGGTGTGCGCCCGTCTTCGGAACTGCGGGGAGTCCGAATCTTCCTCGGGGAAGGCTTGCCAGGCAGAGGACAGGGGCGAGGCTGGTGGGGTTCCTGGAGGAGAGTCCCCTGGAGAGTAGTCCTGAAACACACAAGCACCAGAGAGGTCACAGCAGACGGTCCCGGGCTCACTCCTTGCGGGGAGCCTCGTCGTCCTCCTCACTCAGCACTGAAGGAGTTTTCGATTTCGTGTTCTTGTTCTTTTGCTCAATCCATAGGCAAGGCTAATCGGTTCTACCACAACCCTTTCCTTCTGATAAGCAGCTGGACAAGAGCATTGTAGAGCTAGTGAAAGAGGCGATAAGAGAAGGTATTCTTCACACACACTTCTCCCTCCCCCAAGGCTGTGGTGACATGTCACAGCTAGACTGTACTGTTCTCATCGGGTGCCTCAGGATGAAAAGAGATCATGACCCCGAGAGGGTGGTGTCTGTGTGTGCCTATCTCTTAATTTCCGTGACAGAGCTGCTACATGCTTCCTGTACTGTCAAAACAATATCCCAGGGCCTAAGCGTCCAGGTCTCACAGCCAAGCCTTCAGGAAAATAAAATCAAGCCTGGGAAGTATCTACCTCCATGCTAGATGTTTCAGCCCCACTACATGATCCCTGGGGGAGATTTCTTTTGAAAAGACAAGAAAAACAGGAAATGAATGTAATCTGAGTTGGGTTGGAATGCATCGACCACTGCACGAAGAGACATAAATCTTGCAATTCAGTCAGGTATGCTGTTTATACTTTATGAAACAGCCATCCCTTGCTGAAGGTTTAGCTTGATAAACAATGGCTTAGGGATAACAGACTGATAGCTGGCCAAATCCCCAATTCATCAACAAAAATTTAATAAAAAGTTTCATAGTTTTCCATTTATTAAAAAAAAAGGTTGCCCTTGCTACAGGTTACATGTTGTACAATGCAGGAAACAGGAAACCAAACCTACTGAGAGTTGTCTATGAGATAAAGAGGCTAATGCTGCAGTTGAAATGATAAAAATTGAGGAAGAAAAGGAGCATGGGAAAACAACCACAGAAATCAATGTGTAAGTAGAGGAATTACATGGCTCATTCCATACGGCTTTGGATCAACAGTTGTTCAATATTGTCCGCCAAAGCATGAATCTACAAACAGTAAAAAGCCTTATATGACATAGACTATATAGGATGCTTTCTACCCAACATGAGTAAGCGTGACTGCATGAATAACACGTTCATACTCAAAGTGTTTCATTTAAAATAATAAAGCCGCCGGGCGCTGGTGGCTCACGCCTGTAATCCTAGCAACTCAGGAGGCTGAGATCTGAGGATCGAGGTTCAAAGCCAGCCCGGGCAGGAGAGACTGTGAGACTCCTATCTCCAATAAACCACCAGAAAACTGGAAGTGGCGCTGTAGCTCAAGTGGTAGAGCGCTTGCCTTGAGCTGAAGAGCTGAGGGACAGCGCCCAGGTCCAGAGTTCAAGCCCCATGACCGACAAAAATAATAATAATAATAATAATAATAAAGCCTCACATATATATTTTTTAAAGCCACAAAGGAAGCCACATGCTGAGTGGTTCACACCTACAATCCTAAGTACTCAAAAGGATGAGCTCTAGGATGGTTGCAAGTTAGCCTGTGACACTCTCATCTCAATTAAATGTCACTTCCAGAACTGGAGCAGTGACTCAAGGGGTAGAATGCAAAAGCTAAGAGATATCACCCAGCCCATGGGTTTAAGCCCCAATACTAGCACAAAACAAGTTTCTTAAAGCCATAAAGTCCCACTATAAACCAATAAGGCATGCAGGGTACCATATCAGTGTTGGGGTTTGCTGAGTCACAGTTAGAAAGCTCTGATCAGATACCTTCTCTGATGCAAGACTGTTAGACCGCTCAAAGCTGTCCATACTTCCGAGTCGACCTCTCATTCTGTTAGCTCCCTAGGTGAAGAGAATAAAAACAATCCTTTATTTGGTTTGCATTTTTACTTCCAAATTCTTTTTATGCAAAGTAATTTGAGGTTGCCATTCCATATGAGCAAAATTTAATCCTTTGAGGGTCCAATCAAATCTGCCACACACACACACACACACACACACACACACACACACACACACACCACACACACACACACACACACACACACACACACACACACACACACACACACACACACAGCTGGGGTAAGTGAAAGTATTCCCAACATATTTCTATCAGGCTTATGTCAGAGGCTAGATAATAAGGCCTAAGATGAAACTTTTTGAAGATATTTTGGTTCCAAGGTTACCAGGAGATCAGTGAGAAGTCCAGTAACTACTGAATACAAATGTGGAAGGTACATTAAAATAAACCAAAAAGTCATAAAGGTAATATTTTAATATAAACAACCTTCATACCACACACTAGAGATAATATAATCCACATTTTAAGGATTATAATAAGTGGGTTAAAAAGAAATAGAACATAATTCCAATTTATAAGAGGCTGAGGTAGGAGAACACATGCCCATACAAGATGATGCTAAGCAAACTGAATCCCAAGATATGGACACAAGAGGCTTTCCTTTGTTGTTGTTTTTAATATACTATGTGATTTTTTGTTGTTTCCTTTGTATGTTCTTCCCCTTATGTATATTGCCTGCTGTCACTATATTTGATTTGGGTGCCCTGCATCTTGTATATACATTTGTCTAATCTGGGGACGGGAAGGGGGATAACAAAACACTGAATCAAGGACGCAGGATGACCCATTGCAACAATGATACTCACAGGACAGTATATTGGAAATGATCTTTACACCTTCGGTGGGGGTGGGAGGGATAGTAGGAAAAAAAACAAAGAAGTGGGTAACAATATTTGACAAGAAATGTATTCATCACCTTACTCATGTAACTGTTACCCCTTTGTACAGCATCTTTACAATAAAGTAATTTTTTTTAAGTTTGAGGACAGCCTGGGCTAATAACCAGTTCAAAGCCAGTCTGGAGTCGAGAGAGGGGACAGGAAGGGAGGTGGGAAGATAAGGGAATGGAAGAAGGAGCAGGGAGAGAGGGGAAAAGAAAAGAGAGGAAGGGCAGGGGAAGAGAGGGGATGGGAAGGAAAAGAAGAGAAGGGAAGGGGAGAGGAAGGGAGAAGAGGGGGATAGAAGAGAGAAGGAGAAGTGAGAGGGAAAGAAAGAAAGAGAGAGAGAGAGAAAGGAAGGAAGGAAGGAAGGAAGGAAGGAAGAAAGAAAGAGAGAGAGGAGAGAGACAGGGAGGAGGGAGGGAGGAAAAGGGAGGAGAGACTGCCTTGTAAAATTTATTAATTTTGCTTTATTAACTATAATGCAAAACTACTTCAGTAAATTATTTCACTTTAAATTGGATATCAGCTAGCTTCAATGTTTGTGCTATCAAAGCTCATAACGAAAAAAAGGGTGATCACTAACTCATTCACATTTTGAACCTTATTCCCCAAAAACAAATTTAGAAATGGTTTATACTGATGCTCCTAGTACTGCCTAATCTTTCCCTTTCTGGCACTGTCTGTTGGAGTCCTATTGTGGAGGATGAACATTTTCATTTATATATCTGCAGATGTCAGTATTCTATAATAATACTTGCCATTATAACCTTGGTTGGAGCCTGTGTATATGAGCAGATGTTTTTCTCTGGAGCTAACTCTAAGTTTACTCTTGGTCATTCTGAAATTTCACAACTATGTGTCTGGACCTGACACAAAACAAATGTGTACTTTCGGAGCTCATTAAATCTGGAAAGACATGTGCTCTAGCTCTAAGAAACTTTCAAAATTACTTCTCTGAAAATTCCCAGCATGCTGTGTTGCTTCTTGGAGCTGCTAACCTTTGAGTTTTTTATTTCCAGGCTGCAACACACCTGTTCACTTATGACCTTGTTTTATTTTTCCATTGCTTTAACATTTTGTTCTGTTTTCCAGAAGATTTTTTTTCAGCTCTAGCTTCCTACTCTTACTAGATTCTTATTTTGTGTATAATTAAGACACATGTTTCATTTCGTTTTGTTTTGTTTTGTAAGTCCTGGGGCTTGAACTCAGGGCTTGGGCACTGTCCCTGAGCTTCTTTTGCTCAAAGCTAGCACTATCACTTGAGCCACAGCTGCACTTCTGGCTTTTTCTCTCTATGTGATAATGAGGAATCAAACCCAGGGTTTCATACATGCCAGGCAAGCACTCTACCACTAAGCTACCTTCCCAGCCCATCACGTATTTTTTTTTAACAATTCTTTCTTGTTCTTTGTTAATTATTTTATATTGGCAACATCCTAATTTGTTTAATAGAAGCAATGTTTATTTTTATCTGTATATTCTGCATTAGTTACAGTTTCCTATTCCCCTACGTTGACTTTACAACAACAACTGTATCAATAATACAAATTCAGAGTTGCCTCTGATGGGCAATATGTTGTGACAGGCATTTTCCCACAGTATTATTATATCATTTAATCTTCACAACAATTTTTTAGGTTGATATAATTATTCAGCTCAACTTCACAGACAAAGAGAGTGAACTTCTGATAGGTTGTGCTGTCCAAAATCTACCTAGCCAGTAAAAATAGCAGCCGTGCAAACACAGAACTCACACTATAAAAGCCAAGCGCTTGAGCGCCTTCTTCCCATACTGCTTTCCTAAGGGAGAGCTTTGTGAAAGATAGCCTCACAATAAAATTAATTCGCCTGCGTTAATTAAGTGGAATTTTGCAGACATCAAGGTTATTTTAGTTCTTCAACACTATGCTGTAACTAACTTTATACATCTAATAATAAACTCTATTTGTGGCTAGTAAATCACTGGGTTACTATGTGGGGCCATGAGGAAAACATAGTACAGACCAAGCTGTTTTCTGCTATTTTTAGCTGCTACTTCATGCCAACCTGCATGGTGAGTTGATGACTTGATGACAATACTCAAATGGATTCTGAACTATTTTCATTATTACAAGGCAATTTAAAGTTGGCCACCAGTGGCTCACGTCTATGATCTTAGCTACTTACCTTCAGAGCCAGCCCAGGCAGCCTTTGAGACTCTTATCTCCAATTAAACACCTAAAAAGCCAGATGTGGCTCAAGTAGTAGGGCACTACCCTTGATCAAAAAAGTTCAGGGATAGCACCCAGGCCCTGAGTTCAAGCTTCAAGATGGGAATAACAATAACAAAAACATAATGCAATTTAACTCATGTATATTAATTACTGTTTTATCCTTGTGTGTTTATTTACACAAAGAAAAACAGACCTATTTTAAAATTGTACTCTAATGCTGGACGCCAGTAATTCTAAAGCTACTCAGAAGACTAGGATCCAGATGATTGAGGTTCAAAGACAATTGGAACAGAAAAGTCCCCACAACTCTATCTCCAATTAAGTAGCAAAAATCTGAGCTGGATGCATAAATCAAATGGTAGATCACGATCTGATCAAGCAAGCCAAGCAAGTATGAGGACTGAGTTCAACACACACACACAAATTGTACTCAACCACTATTGTTGGTTCTCTTATTGCCACAGACAATGGAAATTATTCTGAAGAAGGATGACTCATATTTTATATTAAGAACTACTTGGGAAGTCAGGTGCCGGTGGCTCACGCCTGTAATCCTAACTACTCAGGAGGCTGAGATCTGAGGATCGTGGTTCAAAGCCAGCCCAGGCAGGAAAGTTGGAGACTCATATCTCCAGTAAATCACCAGAAAACCAGAAGTGGCATTGTGGCTCAAAGACAGGGCCCAAGCCTGGAGTTCAAGCCCCACAGATGACTTTAAAAAAAAAAAAAAAAGAACTATTTTGGAAATTTTCAACTGAACAAACAGTAGCCAGTAACCAGAATACAACATTCTGTTCTGTCTTTCAGCTTGGAGCAGACAGCCTTTGCCATTTTCCTACAGTCTGATTTTATTCCCGGGCCATGCCCTTTCCCTTGCATTCATTGTCTAGCATTAATGAGTTGGGCTTCTAAACACTTTAGAAAATGAGCCTACTTCATGAACAGTTACAGTGCATTAAATAAAATATTTTGACATATAACAATGACAGCAATTATAAGCAAAGCTGTATGATTCAAGTGTGAGTAATTTTCTATTATACAGCTTGGAAAAAAACTGAGAAATTGTATTGTGAAGCCCTGATGTTTCTATGCAACCCTTCATAGAGAGGGAGCTTCCAGCCTTCCTAACAAGTTCATTCTACCACACATGAAGAGAGCGAGACCTTGTTAGGTCACAAAATATATGGTTCTTGGCATTACTCCTGGAGACAAAAGCTACAGAATGCACCTTGGCCAAAATAGATTGGCCGTGCTCTTCCTGAGAGACACGCCAGCAATTCAAGGCATGTGGTAGGAATCACTTCAAAGTCAGCCACGCAGGCACCACACAGAACGCCAAGGTGCTAAATGGATATGGAACAAGGCTCTAAATACCCACTGGGTGCTTTGTAAAATGGCGACAGTTCTGAGCTTACCATTGCATGTATCACTTCAGACCCATATAATGTATTTGCTTAGCACCGTTACGTAACAGTTAATTGTTTTGATAATATGAGGTGAGACAGTATTACTATGCACATTTTATAAATGGAGACACTATGACTTAAAAAAGGGAAATACGAAGCTGGATGCTGGTAGCCCACGCTTATAATGCTACCCAGGAAGGACTCTTATTTCCAATTAACCAGCAAAAAGCTGGAAGTGGAAGTACAACACAAGTGCCAGAGTACTAGCCTTAGCAAAAAAAAAAAAAAAAATCCAAAAAGAGCTCACTCAGGCCCTGAATTGGAGCTCCAATAGTGGGGGGGGGGGATTAGTTTGGGGAGGGCAGGGTGAAAGAGAGGGAGAGAGAGAACAAAGTCAGAAAGGAACAGAAAGAGGGAAGGAGAGAGGGAGGAGAGAGAAAGAAAAAAATAGAAAGGATAAAAAAAAATCATCTTAGTTCACAAACATAAGTCTATAAAGGCTGGGTCTTACCCTCAAGTTCCCTGAACACCTATGTAACTGGATTTTCTAATTTTTTAGATTTGATTGATTGATTACAGTTTCTGGCACGTGAACTCAGGGCCTGGGTGCTGTCCTGAGCCTTTTTGTGCTCAAGGCTAGCACTCTACCACTTGAGCCACAGCACCACATCCAACTTTTTCTGATTAGTTTATTAGAGGTGAGTCTCATAGACTTTTCTCCCAGGTTGGCTTCCAACCCCTATCCTCAGATCTCAGCCTCCTGAAAACAGAAAAGCTTACACAAAGAAAAACAAACCCACTTTACAACTGTACTCTAATGCTGGGTGCCAGTGGTTCACACCTGTACTTCTAGCTACTCATAAGGCTAAGAAGCAAGGATCTTTTTCGGGGCGGGGTGGGGGTGGGAGTAGGGGGTGTTGAGACAGATCTCACTACATAGGCCAAGCTGGGCTACAGTTTATCACCCTCCTGCCTCTGCCTCCTAAATGATGGGGTTACAGGCATATGCCTGTAAGAAACTGTCTTAAAGTCGTAACTAAATTAAAGTTATTTTAATAGGTTTTTCTTATTTGGCTGTTTAAGGAAATATGTCTTTAGAATGAAGCAAGACAGTCAGAAAACATAGGTATGTTTACCTAAAAGAAACTCAGTTTCCACTTACCCTTGAGAAGATATTTTCCAGGGAGCTGGTTAAGGATCTCTTTGCTTTATTTTTCAAAATGTCCAGCTTGAATCTTCCACCACTCGTTACATTTTCTGGGATTGTACTATTTGAAATATTCTAAAGAAAGAGAAAAAGAAAAACATGAGTTTGGACATATTCAAAATTAAATGAGGTTTTAATACAAGATTAACACTAAGCCATTAGCCAGGCAGTGGTGGCTCACACCTGTAAATTCTAGCTACTTAGAAGGATGAACTCTGAGGATCAAAGTTCAAAGCCAGTCTGGGCAGGAAAGTCCATGAGACTCTTATCTCCAATTAACCACCAATAAAAGGCCAGAATTGGGACTATGGCTCAAGTGGTAGAGTGTTAGCCTGGAGCACAAAAACTCAGAGACAGCACCCTGGCCCTAAGTTCAAGCCCCAGGACCAGCACCAAAAAAAAAGACTGAGGCATTAAAAACCACAAGAATTCTTCTGAAGTTGCATTATTGTATTAAGAAGTAATAATTTAAGTTCTACATTGTGAACAAAAAAATTATAAGGCAAGTTTTATATTGTAATAAAAAAGAAATATTTTCCTTCATGCTTATCTTTTCTTGCTTCGTTTCACAAACCTTAAATTTCAGATGTCAATTTCTCTTAGTATTGCCAATAACTCCCATTACCCCTTCCCAATACACATGCTTTCTATCCAAGTTATTGAGTAAAATACAGGAAGGAACCCACTTCAAAAAGAAGAACACCTTGCAAACAAACTGAATTGTAACAACGCCTTGGCATGATTTCATTTGGAACAGCAAGTATTCATCAATAACACTATCAACCATATGAGAGGCTATGACATGTACTCTAATGTATTAGGTTCCCTGTATTTTTTTTTTTGTTTGTTTGTTTGTTTTTTGTGGTCCAGTTATGGGGCCTGAACTCTGGGCCTGGCCGCTGTCCCTCAGCTCTTCAGCTCAAGGCTAGCGCTCTACCACTTGAGCCACAGCGCCACTTCCGGCTTTTTTCTTTTTGCTTATGTGGTGCTGAGGAATCGAACCCAGGGCCTCATGCATGCAAGGCAAGCACTCTACCACTGAGCCACCTTCCCAGCCCTCCCTGTATTTTTTTTAATTTCATTTTATTGTAAAGATGCTGAACAGAGGGGTAACAGTTACATGAATAAAGTCATGAGTACCATTTCTTGTCGATCATTGTTACCCCTTCCTTTGTTTTTCTCCTACTATCCTTCCCTCTTCCAACTCTACCTCCCTGGACTTTTTATCCCATTAAAGTATGAAACTATTATGTATATTATTACCTGGTCCTCAGTGATTTAATTAATTAATTAATGCCAGTGATAAAACTTGAACTCAAGGCCTCCTGCTCTTGCTTGACTTTTTTTTTCCTCAAGGCTGCCACCCTACCGCTTGAGTTACAGCTCCACTTTTGGCTGTTAACTGGTTAATTGGAGATAAGAGTCTCACAGACTTTCCTGCCTGGACTGGATTCAAACAGTGATCCTCAAACCTCAACCTTCTGAGTAACTAGGATTACAAGCATCCAGCAGTAGGATTACAAGATCCACCAGCATCCAGCTAGTGATAAAAAATAAATTAAATAAAGTTTATAATTCACTAAGGAAGGGAAGAATAAATCAGAGTACATATAAGTACAAGAGCATAAAGGCTGGTATCACTGGTCAGAGGAGAAAAGGCATGCACAGGATTCAGAGACAAGAGAATAGAGACAGTCTCTCTCAGAACTGAGGGGTGTGTATTGCAAAGTCACAATGGCCTAACCCGGCTAGGGAGTCAGTGAGGTAACATACTGGAGTAGTGGGAAGCATCCTGAGCATGTGAGGCCAGAGGAAAGCCCCAGAATGATTTTGAAAACCAAGTAAACAGGAAGAACACTGGTCTGAATTTATAACAAAAGAAGCATTTTTGTGAAAGCCACTTTTTAGGGGAATTTCTCTCCAAACACTATTTGAAAACATCTAAAAGGTGAGAGAAATGAGAGACCAAAAGACAAAACTAGATGAGAGACTTCGGTACATGCAGTACTAGTGGGGCTCACACCATTGCTGGCTCTCTCAAATTGACAAGTTATTAGCGCAAAGCCAAACATGGCAGTGTATGTCTGTAATCCTATCTATTGCTCAGGAGGTTGAGGCAGGAAGAGTGTGAGTTTGAGCTAACCTGGGCTACAGAGGGAGACTCTGTTAGGGCATGGAGGGAGTTAGTCATATAAAAAATAAATAAAATGATCTTGCTTTATCTCTGTTCAGCTGGGAATAAGTCCTAAATCATGAGCATAGAAATGGCATCCTTGCCAGGCACTGGTGGTTCATGCCTATAATCCTAGCTACTGAGGAGGACTAGCTCTAAGGATCAAAGCTCAAAGCCAGCCCAGGCAAGACAAATCCATGGGACTCTTATCTCCAATTAACTGGCACAAAAGTCAGTCATGGTAGCATGGCTCATAAAAAAGCCAAGTGAGAGTATAAGCCTAAGTATCAGTACAGAAGATAAATGAAAAGAAAAGGAGTGGAAGGGAGTGAAGGGAAAGGAAAGGAAGGGAAGGAAAGGGAAGGGAAAGAGAGAAGAAAAGGAGGAAAAGAACAGGGAGGAATTGCATCCCTTAGGGAGGAATAGCATCTCTTAGTTTGCACCTAGATACCTGCTCACATATCACCCTTGCTTTCACCTTGTTTAGTCCTTTCAGTCTAAGCTTCTGATGAAATAAAACACCCAAATTTCAAGATACCATAGATTAATATAATTAAGAACCCGTATTCATTCTACAGCATGACATTTGGAACATAGTTGACTGTGATTTTAGCCCAAGTCCACAGATACTCTTAAATTTGAGAACTAGAATCCTTTTAGCCCCATGTGCATGGGGCTACTGCATTGCTATAAGTCTTTTACAATGCAGGGAAGTGGGAATCTGATAGGATGTAGAGCTGAAAAAGAGGAGAGCACCAAGGAAAGAGCTCCTTCCTGTTTCCTGTGTACCTACAAGACCCGACGCCCAGAGGTCAAGGATGAAACATCTCACCGACACGGCCGGCCCTTCCCCGGTATGCACATGTGTCTTCTGCTTGCTCTCACACAGCTGCCGCAGGTGCAAGATCACCAGTTCATTTTCTTCCTGGTCACTTATGGGCTTCATTTTCTGTTGAGAAGACAGATCAGGAGAGTGCACACAGGGCAACCCAGCCTCTCTTCTTTCTTGATTCTCACTTTGCTTCATCTATAAACATCCGTGTAGCAATGGCTTTCCAGTGCTACCCAACAGTCAGTCCCCCCAAGACATATGTATTTTTTTTAACTTCAGACAGAAGTAAAAAAGAACTGCCAACATCAAGACCCAACTCTCATTCTTTATTTATACTAAGCTTATGACAACTACCAATGATGGTACCTGAACTCGCTCAAAGATGTCAGCTTGCTCATTATCTGTCAGTGATGAGAGATGTCTCTGGATCACCAGTTTGGCTCTTGGTGGGTAGAGACCTGAAGGGAAGGAGGAGGACAGGAGTGAGGTGGAGGCTGGACACAAAGATCAAAGTGTGCACCTTGCAATGAGCATCACACTTACTCTTCTCCAGCCAGCCTTAACTTAGTCTTCCACAACGAACCCTTGTTCCCAACACTGAAATCATTTAAAACCTGAAGTCAAACTGCTCCACTCAAAGTAACAGCCTCCTACAGTGATCCTAGGGTTAGAATCACTGACAAAGGATTTTAATATAATGAAGAACTTTACTTGTGTCAGACACAACCAGATACCACTTAATGTAACTAGTAAAAATAGCCACCATGGGAATTCCAAGGTGAATCTCGGAACTGTTAGATAAAAGCTAAATGCTAGCCTTGGCCAAAAATCTCTGCATTTATACTCTTATAGTTTGTAAAGAACAATTACTATTACTATTATATATTATTATATTATTATTATCATTATCATCATCATATCAAAAAGCAGAACTCTAGCTGAATCAGGAGTCCCTTTCATCAAATTTCCTTTTTGTGTACAAGTATACTTGTAGTGTTACTATTTTTGTCAAAAATGTTTACTTCTTTATATTGTGATAGTTATGATTTTTCTGTTTTATAGTTTTTGGAAGCAATGTCTCACTCTGTAGGCCACATTGGCTCAGGTCTTGAGACCCTCCTGCCTCAGCTTTCCAAGTGGTGGGATTACAGGTGTATGTCACCAAAACCAGTAAATCGTTCACATTTTTGTACATAATTTATAATAAATCCCTGAGGAAAATTTTTCCATGAAAAACGTTCTTAGAACTCTTTTCAAAATGGAAAAGTTCAATTTATACTTACAATGATTCAACTCTGTTCCTAAGGAACAAATTTCCATTCCATGGCTGGTTGTCATTTCTAATATACTTACATCTTGATTATAAAGAGGACATAAAGGATATATAGAATACTTAATAAACCTTACAGCTGATTGGTATCCTAAAAATCACTGACTATTTTAAAACTATCTTTTCTAAGGTATAATGAAAGCACTTCATTACATGACATTGAGCCATAATTTGAATAATTCACCATTATTTATAAACAGTAAGACAAAGCAATTGAAAATATTTTCTTATCACTTGTCTTACTAAGTTGTATATTTTAGAAATAAAGAATATATTCTAAGATAGGCATATCATAAAGTTTTCTAACTGTATCTTCTAAGAAACAACAAGGTGAAAGATAGTTGAAGTAAATTGATACACCTGCTCACATTTTAGCCATGTTTTTAAAGCACTCTCCCTATCTTTACAAACATCGTAGGAAAGAATTACTTTAAAATACATGTGTCTTTTTTTTCTCTCTTTTTTTCTTTTTTAAAAAAATACATGTTTCTTAGAAGGAAATCCACCTCATGACTGACAGAATGCATGCAGAGCTGACCCACAATGGCCTGGCCGCACCTGTACCTGCCTGTAGTCCCTATGCGGGAAAAGAATGGGAGCAAAGTGGTATACACACTTCTCAGCAACTTCTCTCTTTGCCCAACATTCAGCATAAATCTTTATGCAGAGAGCTAACATCCATCTGGGTAGAAAGATAGCACTCATGATTCTAGCTTATTTTTTTCTGAAAAAAATGCTCTCAGACAATGGAGGAAAGTGCTGGAAGGAATGACACTGATCAAGATGCACTGTACAAGAAATTGACACTATGAATTGAAACCTCTTTTACAACTACTTAATGATAATTTTAAAAAAATTTTAAGAGGCTCTCAGATATATTATAAGAAATGTTTGCTAAAAGGCTGCCTGTGGGCTGTGGAAAACCAAAGTAACCATAACCATGTACAACAAAATTGGCCTCGAAAAAAAGTAAGTAGTGAATGAACATCAATGAAGTGTTTCAATTGTCTTTTATCCTCCTTGGGTTACGCTATATAAGATATTCACAATGGCTGGGCATTGAGAGATCACGCCTGTAATCCTAGCTACACAGTAGGCTAAGAGATGAGAAGAGGCAGCCAGGGCAGAGAAGTCTGTGAGACTCTTATCTCCAATTAACCACCACAAAAGCTGGAAGTTAAGCTGTAACTCAAGTAGTAGAACACTAGCCTTGAGCAAAAAAAGCTCAAAGATAGAACTCAGGCCTAGATTCAAGCCCCAGGACTGCACAAAGAAATAACAACAAAAGATGTGCACAATCTCCTACTAATAAGTTGTTTTCTTTTCTGCTATCTTCTTATTCATTACTTTTAATTTTATTTCCAAGTAAATAATTTTTGCCATGTAAACACTTGAAACTTTTCACCAAGTCAAATTAATAGGGATTTTTTTCCTTTTGCATTCTTTTACTTTAATAAAATCTTTCTTCTTCAAGGAATAAGAAGTTTGTTTATTTGTTTGTTTGTGACAGGATCTATGTACCCCAGGCTGACTCAACCTATTCTCCTATTCTTAGGTCCCTGAGTGCTGGGGTTACAGGTATGTGCCACCATGCCCTGAGTCTTTTCTTTTTTTTTTTTGTCGGTCGTGGGGCTTGAACTCTGGGTCTGGGCACTGTCCCTCAGCTCTTCAGCTCAAGGCGAGCGCTCTACCACTTGAGCTACAGCGCCACTTCTGGTTTTCTGGTGGTTTATTGGAGATAGGAGTCTCATGGTCTCTCCTATCCGGGCTGGCTTTGAACCACGATCCTCAGATCTCAGCCTCCTGAGTAGCTAGGATTACAGGCGTGAGCCACCAGCGCCCGGCTGAGTCTTTTCTTTTAATGATTTTGCAATTTAGTTTCTTTACACTGAGGATTTTGAACCATCTAGAATGACTTTTAAGATGAATAAATGAAAATGATCTTTCTCCCTTTGCATAGCTGATTGATCCAATACCATCTCCTTGGTAATGTAGCTCCCTACACACACAGAGATTTGCAATGCTTCCTTGACCATACACAAAAGAATGCTCCACTTCTGTATGCTTGAAAATGAATTGCATTCTATAAAATCATGTGTTAAAATGTGCATACAACACTGACATAGTCTTGGATGGTGCAGTTGTATAGATGACTAATACACACTGCAGTTTAGCACTATTGTTACATCCACCTCTGCCTGCTGCCAACAGACAGAAATCACAACCTGCAATTACAGCCACTAACATAACTCCCAAACTGCATGTGTGTGTGTGTGTGTGTGTGTGTGTGTGTGTGTGTGCGCGCACACATGCATGCGTAAGTGAATGCATGTGTGTATGCTTGCTGATACTGGTGCTTGAACTTGAGACCTTATGCTCTTACTTGTTTTCTTGCTCAAGGCTGGGACTCTGCTTCCAGCTTTTGCTTCTGGCTTTTTGTTCACTAAGTGGAGATAAGTTTCATAGACTTTTCTGTCCGAGTTGGCTCAAACCACAATCATCTGATCTCAGTCTCCTGAGCACCTAGGATAACAAGCATGAGCCACCAGCACCCAGCTCTGTGGCATTTCGCTATACACACGGAGGGCTAGCTCAACTATGCACTAAACTTGAGTTTGTGTTTAAAAAAAAAGCCAAGAGCTCAAGGTGTAGCTCAACTAAGCACTAAACTTGAATTAAAAGTAAAAAGCCAAGTAAGAGTTCAAGGTCCTGAGTTCAAGCCCTAATATCAGCACACAAACAAACAAAAAATCCTGCTTCATGATATCACCACCATTATCTCTGTCATTCACAATTGCCCCCCAAAGCCAATCCTGATTCATTGAAGTTCTCAACCTTTAGAGAAAAGGAACACATCACCAAGGGGGAGAGAATCAAAGGAAGAAATAAACAGTCTGAGATGGTTTTGTTTGTCTTGATTCATTCAATAAATATTTGACCACTTCCCAGCATGCACATTGCAGAGTCTTAAGAACTGTGGGAAATACAAGTCCCTCCCATGAGTTTGTCTTCAAAAAAGAAAAAGAAAGAAAGGAAGGGAGAGAAAAGGCCAAGCACCCAGAAGAGACTGACAGCACACTCAGATGAGGCTGGGCATGAGAACAGCATATGGAGCTCTGGTTCCCATAGACACAAAGAACTATTCGGTGATGGCGCAGACTTTCTCATAAGCAAATGCCAAAGCAAACTCTTCCATTGCCAAGGCCATGTTCTACCATACCTTCAATCCTCTCACAGAGCTTATGCAAAGAGTGCATGGGGCAGGCTTCACACAGCTTGATCTGCGTCTTGGCACTCTGCAGTGCAGCCGCCGTGCTGAATGCCTGCTTCAGGGTCAGCATGACCTCATCCACCTGTGAGAAGGAACAAAGCTCTGGTCCATAATGTTGTCTTTCATGGAAATCTTTCAAACCCAACAGCAGTAGGAGCCTTTATTGCTGCTCACTAACTCATAAGTAATAGAATTTTGATGACTAGAGAGCTGGCAGAAAGTAAATATTTAGTCTTGAAGTTAGACCTTTCAGCCATCTACTAGCAACGGGGTGAAATAAGACCATATCAATATATGTCATATAATGTAGATCTGTTCATAATGCTATTTTCTTTCCTCTTCTTTTCTTGTATAAATGCGTATGCATACACTGGTACTAGAGCTTAAACTCAGGACCTGGATTCTGTCCTTGAGCTTTTTTTGTTTAAGGCTGGCATTCTGCCAGTTAAGTCACACTTCCATTTACAGTTTGTTTTTTGTTGTTGTTGTTTTTGTTTTTGGGGTGCTTTTTTTTTTTGGTTTGGTTATTTTGTTGGCTAATTGAAAGTCTCACAAACTTTTCTGGTCAGGCTGGCTTCAAACAGCAATCCTCAGATCTCAGCCTCCTAAGTAGGCAGTATTACAGGCATAAGCCAATGGTGCTATTTTCAAGACCCAGAGAGGACTATACTATTGCAGACAGTTTAATTAGTAGGTTAATTAAGGTCTTTGTTTTAACTAAATGGTCCACCAGATAAAGACTTCTCTGCAGGCTTTGTCTGCCATGTACAAGGAGTAACAAAAGAGAGTGAACATTTATTTGTGTTAATAGGAATCCTATTTGATTTTTTTCTTCTTGATCGCTTTTGTTGTAAAAATAAAGCATATGTTTAAATGGAGTGCTGGAGGGAGGATGCATTCAATTTACATAATAGTAGGAAGATTCTTTGGCCACTTCTGGTCCCATCTCTACAGCTTCTGCTTTATTAACAGTCTACTTCTGATTTGTGACACTAAGAAGCTACAACAACACGGTGTCTAATAGCTGGAACTCACCACGAGGCCAGCAGTTTTCTAACAGCCAGATGCTTTCTTTCTCTTCCATGGGCCCAGGGAAGAAATCTGAATCTTTCTGTCTAGTTTCCTGATTTCTCTGAAACCAACTAACAGGACATCCCCAGACACTGTTAAAGTATGTAGGATGCAGCTCCTTTTCTTAGACACATTCACTAAGGTAAGGTGTGCTTTTCCCACATTCTATACAACGTAGCCCACCTTCTAGAACCTTCCTGACAGAGTTACTGAATCCTAAAGGGCTCATCACAATTGGCTCTGATATTCAAAACCCTTTATCATCATCAGCAAATCAGTAATGTTGCTCTACTTTTCCCCTTCTCCTATGGCTTGGTTTAAGAATGAGTTATTACTTAAAGAATTTAATTCACTTCTGCAATTGAGTGCATGGGAAATTAACTAAAGAGAAATCATTATTCTAGTATTGCAGCCATTACTGTTCTGCATGACCAACCATAAAAAGGCTTGTCATAGATGACGAGGTGGCCAAGTGGTTAAGGCGATGGTCTGCTAATCCTTTGTGCTAGCCAGGTACCGGTGGCTCATGCTCGTAATCCTAACTACTCGAGAAGAGGTCTGAGGATCATGGTTCAAAGCTAGCCAGGGTAAAAGTCTATGAGACTTTATCTCCTATAAACTACTCAGAAAAAGCAAGAAGTGGTACTGTGGCTTAAGTAGCAGAGCACTAGCCATGAGCACAAAGAGGCTCAGGGATAGAGACCAGGCCGTGAGTTGAAGCCCCAGGACTAGGGTGGAAAAAAAGGCTGGTGAATTAGTTCACAGCACTCCAGAAAGTAAAATAAATTTTTCATAAAATATGCATCTTATACCATAATTTAAAAAATAAAGATTTTTAAGTCAGAACTAAAAACACTAATGCCTCTGCATTTTTATTTCATTTGCCTTATTCTGTATTGAAAGGCAATTTAAGTATTTATGCAGGTGCTCATTTATTTCTATCTTCTTGTTTTCCATTTATCTGAAAGACTAGAAGAGTTGGTAATTGGCTTAGCAATATAAAAAGCTGTCCATAGGTTGTTACTTAATAATACTGTCTTATGCAAGGCTTTCTATGGAACTATTGAATGTGTTTTCCTATCCATTTCTAAATAACATAAGATACCATTTCAATAGTGTCTGAAATGTCGCTACAAAATTCTCCTAGCCATAAATATTACCAAAAATTTTATATAACTAAAACCGAAATCAATGGAACTAAAAGTTCAAATTAGTGTTCTTTGAATACCACAAGGATAATAGGTCACACCAAAAAGTTCAAAACAAAGGACCTAGTATAGATGAATCAATTACATGCAAGGAAAAAAAAAGGATTCTTGGCAATACTATCTGAAAAAGTTATTTCTGATGACAAACATAAAATTGGACAAAGAAAACAATATTTTGGAAAGCAAATTTTTTACACAAAGGTAAAATCCATAATGAAGATGATGCCCAAAAACCTTATGCACCAACTTAAGCATTGCATAGTATTTTACAATAAAAATCACAAATTATGCAAGGACTTCAAAACAACCATCTGGTCTAACTCACTGGAAATACTTAAAAACTTCAACCTATCCAATAAAGAATGGCCTCAATCCTGTTCTAACTATTATTAACAATAAAGCAATGCTCACATCAATGACTAATCACCATATATTGAAATTTATCTATATTTGTTAGATTTTAATTTTATGTATCACATTCTTTATTAGGTGTAAATTCTTACACAACTGCTAGTGTGTCTAAAATCATGTACTATATTTCTTGTTTGTAGGCTAATTCATGCCAATTACTTGCAGTTTTTATCAGGTGAGAAACTTTTCATACATTATTGTTAATCCCTAAAAGATGTGTAATTTTTCCTTCTTATTTAAAACACAGATCCCAAACTTGTATCCATCTCTTTATCTGCTTTCCTCCCTACTTTGCTTGATCCTTTATTGTTAGATTTATTTCTACAAGTATAATCAGTACCAGTAGTGAGAGAAAAATAATTTCCACAACTATGCACCACAGATTTCCATCAGTAGGCTCACATTTCATTTCTAGTGAAATACCTTGCTTATTTCATTAACTGTAACGATGTAAAAATCTGTTTTCAGTGGCATGGATCTCTCTTCTTTTTTGCTTTTGGCTGTACTATCCTTGAATATTTTTTTCTCTATATTGATGGAATTTAGATTTTCTTTGTCTTTAAGTAGAAGTGACTTGCATATTTTTAACATTCTTTAAATCAATTTTAGAGAAATCACTTTTGAAAAACAAGCGTATTTTCTCCAAAGTTCACCAGTTGACTGAGAAAAATAAGCTACCTGCCTCAAAGGAAGGAGGGAAGGAAGGAAGGAAGGAGAGGAGAGAGAATGAATGCAAGAAGGGAGGCAGGGAAGGAGGGAGGGAGTGTGGGTGGCAAAACAAAATGTTAATTTTGTGGGTTTGATACCTGGACAAGATAAGTAAGCCTGCTGGCGTTGTAATTCTTTTGTTCTATACAACTGCAAAGCCACATCAAGCGTAAAGCTGCTCAAAAGGATATTATTGAATTGACTGTTTTGTTTTGTTCCATCTGCTGGTTGCTTAAACCATCTATTACACAGGAAGTGTACATTAAATTTTCCTTCTGGCTTGCAGGTTTGATACTCAGTAAAGATGTGAACTGATAAAATTACAGAGTTAGCAGCATCTGCCAGATCCTAGCCTGGGCTTATTCTCAAGAATAATGAAGCCAGTACGCAGATCAATACCACTTCAGGTGACAGAAGAGCACTCTCAGCCAGTGTGTTCTGTTGCCTTAGCTGAGCAGCATGAGCTAGAGAGAAAAAAGGGCAAGATGCACACCTGTGATCTGATTCCCTGTTTCGAAAACCCTTTCTACAAGCATGAATAAAGGAGCCCGGAACAAAACAAAACAGAAGGGGTTTTTGGGAGTAAGTTCTTCCATGCAAAGGCTGCAGTAACAGAGGCTGACCACACCTGGAAAATGCCTGTCAGCTGTGAAGACCAAGAAGCTTATTCTGTCAATCAAAATGTGAAAGCCTGACCCAGGGGCTAACAAGAGTAAGAGCTGTGTGTGTGCCAGCGCCTCATAACTGTAATCCCAGCTACTCAGAAGGCTGAAATCTGAGGATTAAGGTTCAAAGTCAATATAGGAAGGAAAGTCCATGAGACTTTTATCTCCAATTAATAAGAAAATACCAGACATGGAGATGTTCAAATGGTAGAGTACCAATCTTAGCAAAAATGCTAAGGGATACAACCCACATCCTGATTTTCAATCCTGAGTACTGGCACACACACACACACACACACACAAGAAAGTAGTTAATTGGTAGTTAGTTAAAGATAAGAATGTCATAGACTTTCCTGCTTAGGCTGGGTTCAAACCATGATCCTCAGATCTGAGCCTCCTGAGTAGCTAGGATTACAGGCGTGAGCCACCAGCATCCAGCTCAGTAGGAATAGTCCTGATCTCATGTGTGTCCTTTATTCTTCAGCACATGTTCACTTTACTAGCAAACCAAAATAAAAGCACCACCATAACACCATCACCAAACAGCCTTTGTGGTTTGGCCCAGAGAACAGTTTGTAAGATAGAACATGATGACAAGTGTGACAAGCCACAGCATTGCAGTCTACCTGGGGGATTTTAAAAAATGCAAATGTGGAGAAGAATGAAGAATGAAGGCCCAGCTGCAGGCTGGAAGACCCAGGTTTTGTTCCTGCATCAACTGAGTACCTAAGGAGAGATTTTGTGAGAAGAAAAACTCTAGTGGTAACATAAAAAATAAGATGACTGATTTAAATTATTTCTGGGGAAACTGGATGCTAAAATTAAAATGTACAGGAAAATAAATGCCCAGAATCAAGGAGCAAAGTGGAAAAGGGGAGGTGGATGGGAGACAGATTTCTATCTTTGAGTCAAAAGAATTCAGCAAACAACTGGACACAGAGAATGGAAGAGAACGCATCAAGATTTCTCAGCTGCGGGCTGGGAATGTGGCTTAGTGGCAGAGTGCTTGCCTAGCACCACATAAACAGAAAAGGCTGGAAGTGACGCTGTGGCTCAAGTGGTACATGCTAGCCTTGAACACAGAGAGACTCAGGGTCAGATCCCAGGCCCTGAGTACAAGTCCCAGGACTGGCAAAAAAAAAAAAAAAAAAAAAAATGGATATATGATGCTACCAAATGAATCACATGGGATGGGGAATGTGAAAAGATTTAGAAAGGCAAGGCAGTGTAGGATCCAGAACATACTAGAAGGAACAGCCTCAGGAATGAGATAGAGGTAGCAGAGTCTCCCACATCACCTTTTTTGTTCCTGGTTGACATTTTCTAGTGTGTTCTCTTCCAATTTCTAGTTCCTATTTCTTCCTCTGAGAACTCATCCATCCTGTGCCCTCTATATCAACTAAAGACAACTCTCAAATGCAAATGCAAATCCTAACCTAAATCCACATAGCAAGGGTAACCCAGATAGGTACTGAGTATTTGCTACGGATGGATGATTATCTAATAGGAGAATGAAACTCAAATGAGACTCTGTGGAATAATGAACTATTAGAGGCAAGAGATTTATATTGCCCAGATGGAGACCCAGAAGGCAGCAGACAACAAAGAAGTGCCAATCTACTAAATCACTTCTTCACTACTCCAGCCAAAGTGTCCTCAGCTAGGCCAGCAGAAGGTGAGAGTTAAGCAGCAAGGAGACAGTTCTATAAACTCTTTACAAATGGTGAGGGGTATAGCTTAAAGTTAGTGTTTAGTGAGTGATTAGTGGAGACAGTAAAAGGAGGAGAACGGAAATCTTTGAAAAAAAATCAGTAGATTTCTTTGTCCCTCATCAGGTCCCTGCATGATGTATTTCCTCTCAAACCACCCCATACTAGAGGGCAGAAGAGGGTTAGTGTTAGAAATGCTTTGCAAATGTGAGAAAAGGAGATGAATGAAGTATTTAAAAATAAAGCCAGAGGCTAATATAAAAAAGGGGAAAAAATAACTCTTTGTTGATTATCTACTTTGAGATGTTACAACAATTAATTATGCCTTTCTTGTCTTTTTATTTGAACAATGGAAAACAAGTAACAGCTTTTCTTAGTCTTTACTTTAAAAAAACACACACACACAAAGTCTTGGTAATATGGGGGAAGGACGGTTGTTAGATCCAAGGAAATATTGAGGCTTAATACCTGTCATGATAATTTGTTTTTGTTTCTCTAGCGTTCTGCCTGAGGTATAAAAATGTATTTCTAGTTGTCCTCTTCTTTTTCCTTTGGGTTCCCAAGAGTTGAGTCTGCTGCAAGACAGATGTGCTGGCAGAAGCTCCCGGACAGCATTAACACCACTTACCAGAGACTCACTGGCACACTGGAACACGTAACAAATGTATTGACTCAGCCCAGGCTCTGGAGACTCCCGACAGATAAAGCCAAAGTGATCAACGTGCTTTATACCCTAGATGAGGGGAAAGAAAAGTGCAAACAGAATTTATGGAAATCAACATCCATTCTATGCTTTCCCAGGTCCTCAAATTTCTCCTTCATAGCAAAGTCACAGGGCACAGCATATCTTATGACACATGTCTGTGGATATATAATATTTATATAAAAGGTGAGACCAGCTCAGATTGTTTTGTTTCTGAGAAACACTATGACTCAAGACCACAGGAAAAATACTGATGGCCCATTTCACTGTATCTGGTAAAACAAAACAAGACAAACAAACAAAAAAAGCACTATTATAGGTTCTCAATTTACTGTCTTATAATGGGAGTCAGTGTTCCATCACACATTTCATTCTTGTCTATAGGAAGCTACAAATCTAAGGAAAAAAACCTACCACTGACAATATTCAGATTAAATGTGAAGCATTTCTCTCAAGCATGCATATAAATACCAAACTATCTGCTATTAATGGACAGCCAAAAAACCCCCAATGTTAAAATATTGATACTTTTTTTGCTTTGTTTTGTTTTTGTGCTCATACTGAGGCTGGGACTTGGGGCCTGAGTGTTGTCCCTCAGCTTTTTCATTCAAGGCTGGTGCTCAACCACTTCGGACATTTCTCTATTTCCAGTTTTTTTGGCTGGCTAATTGGAGATAAGAGTCTTGTGTACTTTCCTGCTCAAGCTGGCTTTCAAACGAGGATTCTCAGATCTCAACCTGCTAAGTAGCTAGGATTATAAGAGTGGTATTTGGCCTCTGGCACTGATATGGTCTTTAAAAAGTTATTGCAGATACCAATTATCCACATTCACATTACTGTTCTTCCGGGATCCAGGTGAAGTAACTTCAGTTACATTTAATTTTTAAAAAATGCAGAATTTAGCCAGGGAAGAAAGATCCCAATGAGACTCTTATCTCTGACCACTCAAAAACTAGAAGTGGAGCCATGTGGCTCAAAGTAGTAAAGTACTAGCCTTTAGCAAAAATTGCTCAGGGACTATGACTGACAGAAAAAAAAAAGCAGAACTTCTATAACTTTTATCCATACATACAAACCAACAAACTGATAACAGTTTACTGTCTCATAGCAAGCACAATGGCTTTAAAATCTGAAGAAGTAAAAAATAAAGAAATATGGTTGTCCTAAAACTCAATTAAATCCAAACAAAAATAAAACAGGCCTCAGAATAAAATGATTTGCACTTAAGTCTTAGTTTAACAAATCTGATAGGTTTGAGATGTTGTGCTGGCCTGCTAATAATTATCTCTGGAGTTCCATTTGTCAATACAAAACAGCAGTTACAACACCTATTGTCAGGAAGGATTGAGATTCAGAACTAAGAAATGTCTTTGACAGCTCCTGGGTTGTGGGATAAATGCCAACCACAATTCTTGTTATCAGCAGCTCAATTTGTCAAATGGATATGGAAAAAGGAAATCAACTCTGGTGAAAAGAAGTCAGTAAGGAGAATGAGACTGCCGTTCATGCAGTGAAAATAACGTCTATGTGGCAATACTTGTGAGAGATTAAAGAATATCATCTTTCACTGGCATAATACTAAATGGAAAAAATTCTAGGCTCCATTAGCTCAGTATGTTCTCATAGCTGGCGGCAACCTTACCAGCAAAGAAAGTTACTTCCTGTCTTGCAAAGCTTGCCTGGAAATCGGTCATACAGTTTTTGAAGAAAGAGACAGTTATATTTGAAGATAGCCTGAACAAATCTAAGAGACTCTCATCTCCAAGTAACCACCAAAAGAAGCCAGAAATGGAGGCATGGTTCAGGTGGTAGAGTATCAGCCTTGAGCAACAAAAGCTAAGGGATAGCACCCAGGCCCTGAGTTCAAGCTCTAGCATCAGTGTGTACACACACACACACACACACACACACACACACACACACACACAGATGCCTCGCTCCTGCATACAACCACATTATATCATATCAACTCACTTGTGTGCAAAGAAATAAAAAGAACCAGGCCAGTCGGTGAGGACTACAGGACTCGGCCCATCATTACTCTGATGAGAGGATTTCCCACCTGTTCCCTTGTGCTTTGATCTAAATCCCTTTTTTTCCGTATCAGAAGATAGAAAGCAAGTTTGCATATAATAACAAAAAAATGGAAAAGAAAATTTGATTTGAACTTTTAGTTTTATATGTTGGTTCCCTGAATCATCTGTTCTTTCTTCCTCTTTTTGAATCTTTTTTGTACTCACTGAGAATGCTGGTTTTCTCATTGGGAGGCTTGGGGAAGGTGGAGGATGAGAGACTGTGCTTTAAAGATGCTTATTGGTGTTCCCTCAGGACAGGAACTGCATTTTGTTTGTACAGCAGCTTTTACTTCAATACTTAGCTTAGAGCCCAATATGGAGAGAGGCTTCTTCATTCAATATTCACAGAACACGTATAGCTTGCCAGCTTTAATCCCAAGATACTGATTCTAATGTCCCATAGGATAGGACATCAGCTGGGTGCTGGTAAGAATCCTAGCTACTCAAGAAGCTGAGATCTGAGAATAAAGGCTCAAAGCTAGCCTAGGTAGACAAGTCTGTGAGACTCTTATCTCCAGTTAGCCAGCAAAAGGCCAGAAGTGTAAGTATGGCCCAAGGAGTAGAGCACCAGCCTTGAGCAAAAAAGTCAAGCAAGAACAAGAGGCCAGTACCAACACATATAACCACACACATACACACAAACACACACACACACACACACATCAAAGAATAAGACACCTGCCTTTGAGGGCTTATGATCCTGCATACACAGTGGGTAACTATAAAAACACTTATATTCTGGGCACTGGTGGCTCACACTTGTAATCCCAGCTACTCAGGATGCTAAGTTCTGAGGATTGTGGTTCAAAGGCAAGTCCCTGAAACTCTTGTTGCCAATTAACCACCAGGAAACCAGAAGTGGAGCTGTAGTTCCAAGTGGTAGAGCACTAGCCTTGAATAGAAAAGCTACAGTGCCCAGACCCTGAGATCAAGCCCCACAGTTGGAAAAAAAAAAAAAAAAACTTAATATAATACTATTATTTTTCATCCGAATATTTTAAGTAAGAATTTAGAAATTTAACATATATCCTTCCTTAATTCAGATGTTACATTCTCTAAGTTGCTAGAGAATGTTTGTCTATACATCAAAATTTTAGATCTCCATGTAACCAGAAAGAATTCTAAAACAAAATATTAGGAGTGGAACTGTACTAGCTGAGACTGAGGTAAAACAAAATTAACCAACTGTACAAAACTCATTTTTAAAGGGAAGAACATCTGAGTAGCATATTGATAGCAAGGCGAACTCCAAACTTCAAGAGAGAATTAAAATATGATAGGCAGTTTTGATTTTTCACTGTCAAGATAAAGGGACCTTGAAAGAGCAGCTCCAAGAAGCATTGAGTCCCCAGACCAGGAAAGATGCAGCTTCTGAACACTTTACCTGCCCACATTTAGACACAGACACACCTTCTATCCTGATAACTTCAAATATCTTTTCTTTTTTTTTTTTTTTACAGTACATTTTGGTAGCTCTAACCTTGGATGGATATTCAAAATGACCATTATGATTCTTAGGACAGTAATTTATGCCTGACTTTACAATCATGTACACATTGGCCCATAGTGATTCTTTTTAAATACATAGTTTACAAATTAAAAAGAATAGACACATTGTGCCAAATTTAGTATTTACATAACTACAAGTCAAAAACACTAGTTCCCCATTTTACTTCTTACCACAAAATAAAAATCAAACATGATTCAGATACATCACAGGTTCCATTGCTGGAGATTCTGAGGGACCCTAGCTATGACGTGTTACCATAAGATGTCACTACCACTGAAATTCCAGCAGTGAAGAGATGTAATACAACGAGAGAAAGCTGACTACACAGCGGAGAAAGTGTGAAGATACTGAGGAATTGGGCAGAACATACCACAGGAAAAAAGTTTTATTTTTAGGATATATCCTAAAAATAAATTTGTATTACATTGTTTCTTTTGTGTCAGTACTAGAGCTGGAAAGCAAAGATTCATGTTTTTTTCACTCATGGTTGATGCTCACTCACTTGAAACATGCCACCAGCTTGGTCACTGGAGATGAGTCGCTTAGTTTTGTCTGCCTAGGCTGATTTTGAATCTGATCCTCAGATCTCAGCCTCCTGATTTGTTAGGATTATAGGTATGAGCCACTGGTACGCAACCACAAATTCTTTTCAAAAAGATTTTTTTTAAAAATTTAAGATTATAAAATGGAAAGGTCTTTAAGCTTAGTTGCTTTTTGGTTATTATTGAAACAAGATGATTTCTTCAAAATATAATGTGATACATACCTGAGAACAAGAGGAAATATCTTTAAAATTCTTCTCTAGCACAACTGATTTACTATCTGGACTGATAAGGTTAATCTCAAATCGTCCAACCTTTGGAAAAAAAAAACACTACAATTAAATTCAACTCATAATGACTTAATACCTCACTTTATAATTCAACAGTGAACTAATAACACAGATTCAAATCCAAGGATTGGAAGCATGGCCCAAGTGGTAGAATACTAGTGGTGAGCAAGCAAGCAAATCTAGCACAAGGCAAACTTGGTATTGGCAGAAAGAAAGAAAAGAAAAGAAAAGAAAAGAAGGAAGGAAGGGAAAAGAAAAGAAATAGAAGAGAGAGTATTTTCTCAAGACATTTTTTTCTTTGTTGAAAATCATGAAAACTAACATATTCTTAAGTTATAGGACACATATTAGAAATGACTACTCAAAAAATGCAACCTTTCCCCATTTTATGTTTTCTAAAAATAACAACATTTTAGGATAGTCAGATATACTCCCAAGTGGTCAATAAAATATGTATGTCATCATTTGCATATGGGTATATATATGTGTGTATTTATGTGTATAATCATTTGTATATGGGTATACATGTACATATAAGAACAGAATGAAGCTGGGCACTGGTGGCTTATGCCTGTAATCCTAGCTACTCAGGAGGCTGAGATCTGAGGATCGTGGTTCAAAGCCAGCCCGGGCAGGAAAGACCCTAAGACTCCTACCTCCAATAAACCACCAGAAAACCGGAAGTGGCACTGTAGCTCAAGTGGTAGTACACTAGCCTTGAACTGCAGAACTGAGAGACAGCGCTCAGGCCCATAGTTCAAGCCCCACGACCAACAAAAAAAAAAAAAATAGAATGAAGGGAATGGAGGAAGAGTGTGTGTGTGTGTGTGTGTGTGTGTGTGTGTAAGTAATTGGTCTAAATAAAAAAATTTACATTAAACAGCTATTCAGGAAAGACAAATGTGATAGTCCCCAAAAGGAGTGAAAACTCAGCTATTACCAGAAAACACCAGAGACAGGAACTAGCAGAGTGGTTCAAACGGTAGAGCTCCTGTCTAGCAAGCACAAGGCCTAAGTTCAACCTCCAGCACTAGGAAAAGACAAACCATAAACAAACAAAAACACACAGAGACACTTTAACTAGACGCCAAGAGTTAACCAAAGCTACCATGAAACATGACCTTCTGTAAAATATTACATACTGGAACTGCTGACAAGGTTTGCTATGGTAATTCCCTTCCAGGGATTCTATAATAGGAAAAGTCAGGAGTTACCCTTTTTTATTTTATTTTTATTTTATTTCTTGGTGCAGATCCTGGGGCTTGAACTCAGGGCTTGGGCACTGTCCTTTGAGCTCTTGTGCTCCAGACTAGGGCTCTACCACTTGAGCCACAGTTCCATTTCAGCTTTTTTTAGTATTTAAGTAGAGATAAGAGTATCACAGACTTTCCTATCTAGGCTGGCTTTGAACTGCAATCACCTAGATAGGATTACAGATGTGAGCCACTAGTATCCTGCCTTCTTGTTGTTTGGCCAGCGGCTGTTTTGTTTTATTTCCTTCCAAGAAAAGTCAAATCTTACAAGTTGATGGTTAAAGATACTCCACAGAACACTATCATAAATTAAGCTTTTTAAGTCGAAAGCGACATTTGCTGTCCCTACATGACATACAAGAAGTATTTTCAGAATCAAGAGAATTATCTTTTACCTTCACAAGACAGCCTGTATCAAATTATTAATAACCAACTCTAACTCACTAGGACAATGACGTATGTGTGCGGGTGCACACACATGTCTGTGCAGTAGTGCTAGCACTAGAACTCAGGGAACTGCCCTTTAGCTTTTTCCAATCAAGGCTGGTTTTCTACCACTTGAACCACACCTCCACTTTTTTGGTAGTTAATTGGAAATAAGCGACTCTTAGACTTTTCTGCCCTGGCTGGCTTTGAACCTAGATTCTCAGATTTCAGCTTCCTGAATAGCTGGGATTACAGGCATAAACTACTCGCACCCTGCCCCAGTCGCATTTCTTTAGCCTTCTCTTTCAGTGATCTAGTGTGTGTGTTCTCATCCGAACCACACCTGTGTCTCTGGAAAAATCCTTTTTCCTCCCTGTCAAATCACACTTTCCTAGATTCCTATCTTTAAATCCTTTCCTAGATGGATTCTAAAGCTATGTTTTTCTAAAGACTTTTTTTTTTTTTAGGAAACAACTCAGTCTCCCTCTGTATGACCCATGTAACCTAATCCTTAAAAACTGCTTTAAAGAAAATCAACTCAGGCGATGCTGGTGTCAGAGATCCAGAGTAGCAGTCACAGATCACAATGCCAACCTCTCCAGCTTCTCTGCTCTCCTGCTTGCTGTTTCTCCACCTCCCTTGTCTGCTTGTGAGTGAGACTTCCATGAGGACCACTGGGGAAGGCAGCAGGCGGGATAGGGGAAGGGTGGATGGAGTGGGGCGGGGTTGGGGGGGAAGATGTCAGCCAGCTGCGCCCATCCAAGAAGTCAGGAGGCAACAGGTGGAGGTTGCTAAGCAACCGGCCTGCAGCACCTGCCAGCATCCGCCCGAAAGGAAGGCCATCCCACGCACCTGAAAGAGCATGGTTCTATTCTTCTCGGAGTCGGAGGGCTGGACGTGGCTGGGCGCGCTGGCGTGTCTCCTCCTGGGCTGTGACGTCTGGCTGTTCTCGTGAATCTTCTTCTGCAGGACGCCGGTGACGCTGCTGCAACGAGCCCGAAACTCCTGCTGCTCATCCAAGTCACCGTCTTCCAGAATCCGCTCTGGGAAGCAAAGACGATTGCTGGGCAGCGCGGGCTGGCTGGCCAGGACTGGCAGGGCCGGGGGGCTGTCGGCGGGGCCTTCGGCCTCCTCCGGCAAGCTGTGGCCCGGGGACCCGGGCACCTCGGCCTCCGGGGCCCCCGGCTCCTCGCCCTGCAGCCGCAGGCGCAGCTGCTCGTGCAGGCTGAACTGCTCGATGCAGTCGTCGATGAGGCTGGACGGGGCCTTCTTGTGCGTCACCGTCACCCTGCCGCAGTACAGGACCTCGAACTTCTGCGAGTTGTAAAAGGCGTCCTCGTTGTCTTTGCTGGGCTTGGCTCCTTCTTTCATGGCGGCTTTGGATAGCTGTCGTATGCTGCTCATGACATCGGGGACCTGGGGACAAAGGAGAAGTCTGATGTCTGCCATCACTCCTTATTCACGCGTGCGTGGACTAGATAATCACCCTAAGTGATAGAACACAAGCAGGACGGACGCCTCTACCCCAGGTGGAGTTTAATAACCTTGAAATTGAATAGCAGTATCCTCTTTTACCTTTTGGGTTTTTTGTTGTTTTTTGTTGGGTGTTTTTGGGGTACTGGGGATGCTCTCCCACTGTAAATGCCTTCATTTCCCCAAAACAGAGCTATAAGACTGTCCAGGGCACTGACAACTTCTTTTTTTTTTTTTTTTTGTTGGTCGTGGGGCTTGAACTCTGGGCCTGGGCGCTGTCCCTCAGCTCTTCAGCTCAAGGCGAGCGCTCTACCACTTGAGCTACAGCGCCACTTCTGGTTTTCTGGTGGTTTATTGGAGATAGGAGTCTCACGGTCTCTCCTGCCCGGGCTGGCTTTGAACAGCGATCCTCAGATCTCAGCCTCCTGAGTAGCTAGGATTACAGGCGTGAGCCACCAGCGCCCGGCGGGCACTGACAACTTCTAATAAACTATATGTTTGATGGCTTTAAAAGTTTAATGAGGGGCTGGGAAGGTGGTTCAGTGGTAGAGCACTTGCCTTGCATGCATGAAGCCCTGGGTTCGTTTTCTCAGCACCACATAAGCAGAAAAAAAGGCTGGAAGTGGTGCTGTGGCTCAAGTGGTAGAGCACTAGCCTTGAGCTGAAGAGCTGAGGGACAAGCCCTGAGTTCAAGCCCAGTACTGATATGTGTGCACACAAGTACACATGCACGCACACGCACTCCCCCCTACACACACATACACACACACACACACACACACACGAATGCACACACAAAAGCAACAAGTGTCTGCAAGATGTGGAATAATTGGAACATCCCCACTGCATACAGAAATGTGAGTTGACACAGCACCTTGCAAGCTGTTCATCAGCTTTGTTTGTTTGTTTGGGATCCGGTTGTGGGGCCTGAACTCTGGGCCTGGGCGCTGTCCCTCAGCTCTTCAGCTCAAGGCTAGCACTTGAGCCACAGCACCACTTCTGGCTTTTTGCTTTTTGTTTATGGAGTGCTGAGGAATCGAACCCAGGGCCTCAGGCATGCAAGGCAAGCACTCTACCACTGAGCCAACTTCCCAGACCCCGTCAGCTTTGTTTTGTTTTGATTTTGGTTAAAATTCACTTTGTGTTTCCCACTGTTCCCTCCCCTCCACACATGTTGATGCTTTCTGGTTTCATTTTGTTAGACAGTTTGTTAGCTATTCAGAGAATACACACCTTAGGACCTCTCCTCTAATTAGATGATCCTTTAACCCCATATATGTTATTATGTATATTTATATTTTAAATCTATTAGTATTTTACATCTGTTTATATTTTCAATCTCTTGGGTACTTTCTTAGAGTACCTAAGCCTACCTCACCATCCAGCTCTTCCTCTTCTATATGTCTTCCTAGAAGAGCAAGAAATATATCCACACAAGAGCTTGTACTCAATAATTCATAGAAGCCATATTGCAATTGGTGCCAGTGATTCATGCCTGAAATCCTAGCTACTCAGGAGGCTGAGATCTGAGAGTCATGATTCAAATCCAGGTAGGGCAGGACAGTCCATGAGACTTTTATTTCCAAATAAGCACCAAAAAAAAAAAAAAAAAAAAAGCTGGAAGTGGAGGTGTGAGTGGTAGAGCACTAGCCTTGAACACAAAAGATAAGGGACAATACCCAGGCCAAGCTCAAGCTCTAAGACCAGCATCAAAACAAACAACAGCATTTCCAATCACTTTCTTCCACCCCCTTCATCCTCCTCTCAAAAGCCCTTCTTAAGGTCTTTTAGGCCTGTTACTTTAGGATGGTAAAACAGCCATTCCAACATGAGCAGCTATGTTGTATTGACTGTTTTGAATTTAAAGTCACCTGATAGGAGAAAAAAAAAAAAAAAGGCAGGGCACTCTGGTCTTCCTTCATTTCCTGAAAGCTTCCTCAACCCAGGGAAAGATACCTACCCAGAGGCATGAAGAAAGACATCATCACCACAGATGGGAGCAGACCAAGAGAAACCTGACAAACCAACCAAGTTCAACTAGCTCTATCTTCCTAAACGTTTTCACACAACAAATTGCCCTAGCCCAAACAAATCATTTGCACAATTTACTACTGTTTGTCTGACTCAGCACATGAATAATACTCACCTAAACTACTTTGCATCTGAATATTTCTTCTGAGTATTCAATTTACATGTGGAAGTTACTAAGTAAACTTTCTATGTCATCTATCTGTTAATCCTGGTAGAATCTAAGGCTATAGAAAAAAAAATACCTCTTGCAAAAAAAAAAAAAAAAAAACCCTCCTATATTTCCCCTTTCTTAAAGACTAAAACATAGGTCTTCACAGCATCCTAGAATGTCTTCTCCAACCACATGGGGCAAACATTCAGATTAAGTCTTCAATGTGGCTACATACCCTCCTTTTTTATTTTATTTTATTTTATTTATTTTGGCCATTCCTAGGGTTTGAACTTAGCTTGGGCTCTGTCCCTGAGCTTCTTTGTACTCAAGGCTAGTGCTCTACCACTGGAGCCACAGGGCCACTTCTGGCTTTTCCTGAGGATTTAATTGGAGATAAAAGGTCTCACAGATGTCCCTGCCCAGGCTGGCTTTGAACTGTGATCATCAAATCTCAGGATTACAGGTGTGAGCCTGGCATCCTCCTTTGAACAGATGGTCCATCTAGACTTGTACCTTTCCATCCTCCAACCTATCTCCGACTACATTCCCTTCCATCCACTGTGCTCCAGGCACACTAGAAGCCTTGCAAATCCTTCAACACCAAAAGCCTATTTCCAAATGAAGTCTTTGAGCTCCCCTCCTGCCCTATTTGTTCATATATCTAAACCCATGCTTCAACATTGCCTTGCACAACAGCGCCCCCATGTGTCTACCACCCTAATCCATACACATAAGCTCATGTGGCCAGCATTCAGGGGTTTTCTCAGCTTTGTTACAACCCACATGCTTTAACATCTTTACTGTGCTATATAACTCCTTTATTATGTAACACAGCATATAGGTTCTAAGAGAAGGTGGTTTCTGACTTTATTTTTTCCCTATTGTATCTAATTGTCTAGAATAAATCCTGTTTTGTAGAAGTTGGTCCTTGGTGTAATCTACTCACCCCAGAAAAACTTTTCCAAAATTGTTCATCTTTGTTTTTAGAATTATAAAATTTTTAATCGTAACAGTTGATTCCTATTCAGACACATATCTGTATCTTCTAGTGCCAAATTTCAAACCAGAATTTCTACTCTTTCACAGCATTACTTGGGATATACTGCTGCAGTATTCCCAGCTGTAAAGTGGTGAGAATTTCAGGGGCAGCCTGAGTATTTCCTATGAGAAGATAAGTCTTCTGCCTCAGCTCCAGTGACTCAGGCAGAGCAGCTGACACAGAGTCAGGTGTCTGTGAAAACATGTGACTAGCAACCACAGCCCTCCATCTTTGGTCCTTGACTTGAGAGGCCAAAGCTGCAGAGAGTGAGCTGACAATTCACTCAGCAAAAAGTAAGATGCTTTTAGAGGCTTGAGCAAAGCCCTGAGAGAATCATCTGGTCTCCTTCACTATCTCTGTTCCATCATGGTCTGTTCATCTGCTATCAACCCAAGCACTCCTAAACTTCCAAAAGTATCTACAGAGTGTGGAACCACAATCGTCCTTATGACGTGCGTGCGTGCGTGCGTGTGTGTGTGTGTGTGTGTGTGTGTGTGTGTGTGTGTGTGGAGAGAGAGAGAATGTGAGTTTTTTCTTATCAAATAACTATGTGAATGATTTGGGTTCAGTCTCAAAAGTTATTGTTTACAAAAAAAGACTTAAAGTCAACTCAACCTTAGTGTTGTCAAGTCCTCTAAATTGTTTGACTTTCTTTCTTTACTGTTACATAGAGACTTCTTAAGAGAAAACCTGCTGGGTGTCACAACTCCCATAGTCACGTGAGGAGGGACCATGTGCTCAATACCTAAAAGATTCTGAAAATGACCTGATTTACACGTGTAGAGCTTATCACCTTAAATTCTTCAGTGACGTGGAGAGGTAATCTTCCAAGAACTGGAGATATTTACATCATCAAACAGACTTTAGTAGCCTTTAAAGGCTCTCTGAGGTTCTAACTACAAGGTCAAAGACCTGGGATAACCTTCAATGACCTAGACACTTCAAGGAAGAGTTGGACCAAACAACATTCAACTCTTTCTGCTGTTCCTTATGTGAAAGACAAGCTATAAAATTTAGCCTTGCACAGCCCTGCCAAAATACTCAGACACATCGATAATGTAGGATAGTAAAATATACGTAATAGTAAAGTATCAGAATGATAAACTGTTAGGATAGCAAAAAGTTTCTGAGACTGTTGCTCAGTGATACAGAACTTGCCTAGCCCCCACAAGGCCCTGGGGTTGATCTCCAGCAATAAAGTTGTCATCCTCATCATCATCCTCATCCATAGTAGTAAAGGCAGTTATCACAGAACCACAAATACCTTTTATTGAGGCAATTATTTAAGGAATCCACAAGAATTAAAATCACCATCCAGTGCTTGCATATACCTGGTATTTTGAAATAATAGCTTTCTCCTATAGCATACTCTTAACACGTTTCATAGATAGGTAGGTAGGTAGGTAGGTAGATAGGTAGGTAGGTAGGTAGGTAGGTAGATAGATAGATAGATAGATAGATAGATAGATAGATAGATAGATAGATAGATAGATAGATACATAGATAGATAGATAGATAGATAGATAGATAGATAGATAGATAGATAGATAGATAGATAGATAGATAGATAGATAGATAGATAGATAGATAGATAGATAGATACATAGATACATAGATACATAGATACATAGATACATAGATACATAGATAGATAGATAGGCATGTTATATCATTCCAACATCTCCATTGCACTGTTTGTGAGAAAGACAAGATTTTATTTCT